TCAATCGAAAAGTGAGATCTTTATCTATCCTGTTCTCAACGACTAATAACCTTCTCAAATTAGTTTACCCACACAAATCACCCATTAGAACTACCAAACCTGGCAGCCGGGGCGTCGCCCCGGATAAGAGTTTCCGCTATGACGTCTCCACTTCCAACACTACCCTTCGACGTCCAAGTTATCGGCCTGTCGATTCTCTCCAGAAATCATGACTGCGACTCCCCTGACGCTGAGCACCCTTTCGCGAGAGCTTTTTGCGGTCGTTTGACGTCTTGTTGTCGAGCGACTCCTGCGCTCCCCCGGGCCAGCCGATCTTGAGATCTAGTGTATTGGTCGTATCTTGCAGTCTTGCGAAACCTCTCGAATCCCTTGCGTGCGGACCTTTCGCGCCACAAATAACATCCGGTCACCTTGATAAGAGCCTCCTTCTTCTTTAATTCCCTCTAGCATATTCCTCCGCCACCAACTCCCCGACTTCTTGTGTAGCAATTGCACAGCCAATTCATCTTCGCGTCTTCCATCTTGCGCTTCTCTCTTGTCGTCAGCACGTGCGCCGTCTTCGTCAATCTTCAGACGGGACCTTCGGCGCCTACTTATGCCTGACGCGCCTTCACCGGCGGAGCATCCGTTGCACTGGTGGATCCTTGGGGTGATAACTTGAGGTGAGGATTGGGCTCATAACCTATTAGAAACAAACGAATGAATAACAAAAACCTTGTATTCGGACGCGTGGCCAGACGTATTTCGCCCCCCCCCTCCGCCAGGAGCCTCCACAGTAGCTTACCGATCACAAACTGATCCACCTCAGTACTGCAGCCCCTGCCGCAACCACACGTTTAACGATGGTAAGAAAAACTTTTAGATCTACCTCACCTTAAGACTAAATCAGCACTACCTAGCAGACTTCACCGGCGTACGCTCAGTGCCCGGCTACATCCGAAACGCCAACGTCCAACACGATAGATAATATAAATAGTACTTGTTAAAGTACGCGAATAACAAAAAAAGATAACATGTTCGTGACGATTCTTGAACAGACGTTACACCTACGGCACTCATACTCGTCGTCACCATTTTCACTTAATATTGACGCTGTGACGGTGTAGTTACAAAACATATCTCAGTCGTCGATTACGCAGGCCAAAATGACATTATATATAGACATGAGATTATCATCTCGACGTCTTGAATTTACATAAACCCTGAAACTTATGATAGTCACTCTATGGCATATAATGGAAACAAAATCATTCTTTCTATAATAGCTAGTCGACCTGCTAGCGAAACTCGTTGCCCTGTAGACTGACTGCGTATTCGAGTGACTACGTTCGCATGATGGCTTGGTAGAACTCAGCTGCATCAGACATCTGACTAGCCCTGGATTGAACACAACACACAAATGTACCCCGCCCGCGAGAACAACCCGTGACATTCAAATCTAATGATGTCGAATGTCAACATTGTCACGGGCGGTGCGCATGGAGCACAAATTGACCAGGTCAAGTAAGACGTGCTTGACATATGATGGATCTTCGATGATGGGATTGTTGTCAATACAACATCTCACTTCTGCAGAACGCTGCGGCATCTCATTTGCTGTTCATGATAGCCAACAAGAGCAACCCGTCTCGAAAGCGACTTCATTGGCAAGACGTACATGACGCATGAAAATATCGAGTGCGCGTAGATTTGGTCTGCATGTCTAGTCTCTCTCAAGCATGGATGAAGCAGCCACAGTGTGTCTACACACTGACAAACAGCGCTACAGCATCAGCGGACATCATATTTATAGCAAGCGTTGTCGGCAGCCTGAACTCACCCCATGACCTGCACACCGTTCTAGACGGATCGCACAACTGTCGGCGAATCTAGCGCTTTTCCGGTTTGCAAAGCTGGATTGTTGTTAGCCCTAATTAGTAGATCTTTGATAATGTGCGTATTTGATGCAAATTATAAAAGCACCAATCATAGGGAGAAAAGAAGAAGATAAAATTTTGAACGAATGCGTCGCGTGTTATGTCAATTTCCGAGAATATGTTTGATCGGTGATGTACAAATTGAAAATCATATTGTAGAACAATGCGACGGAAAGGGAAGGGAATATAGATTGTATGAGTGAAACCCAAGTCGTTTGATACAAATCAATTCGATGGCGGGGTGGATACAAGATAGCGATCCAAGGTCCACGATTTAGAAGAGGAATCGTAAGCTATAAAATTACGTATTGATCGCACAAAAATAGATCCGCTACGAGGGCGTCACACATACTTGAGAAGAATAGTAAATGTAAGAGGGGAAGACCCGAGAACTGAGGAAGGAATTGCGACCACAAGATTAATAAATGTAGACCTTGATCGTATATTACTCAATCGTGACTAGTTATTGCGGAATAAATAGTATGTGAGAATTCAGAATAAATGCGGACCCCACGATGCGATATGATTTCTATGTAGAGATCCAGTACTCCATCGTGACGAAATATGTGATCGCGATGCGGTGTAATCTGATCTAATACCGCGATCCAGTCTTCCGCGATTCTTGCTTCCGCGATGCAGTTCTCGATCGTTACCCAACATGTGATCCGGATATTTTTGGAAATGGATGTAGATCACATAAATCATGGGGATGATAGGGACACAACGACGATTAGGTTTTGATTAAAAGGTACAGACAGACCCAATTACAATGTTTGGAATGATTTTTACATACTGCATAGTGGATTTTTTTAGCAACACGTATTCTTTCTTCTCTTTAGTAATAAATATTCAACCCATCGTAGTCAGGGAATCGCGGACAGGTTCGTCAGCAAGAAAACTAAGAATGTTTTAGCTGGAGGGAGACGCCTATAATCCGCCTCCCAGATAGCCTTACGACGCAGATGAGCACCACATATTACTAATTAAGATCTCGAGACGGCTAAATTGGTCAGGAGGCTGGTGTAACAATTATGGAGTATTGGAATAATAGACATCATCGAAGATCATCATAACTTTTATCGAGAGCATCCAGAGAAGCAACGAGATCTTATGATTATATAAAGTGATCGACATCCCGAACAAACTACATTCCGTTACGTTCAGCATTTACTCTATTTACCGAGGATAGTGCAGCCCGCGTCGCTGATGGTATCACAAGGTGATACAGGCTTGATACGCAAAGTGGAGTAGACATCCCATTGTCCGTATGGATGGAATCCAGAGAAGAGTCGGGATCACATTGGATCTTAAAATATTTACCCCCCCCAACCCACTACATCCATTAAATTAGTCCCGGGATCAGTAGACCGGCGATCATATCCACATGTTTATGCCTGCCGATACCATCATTATTATACTCTGTATTAAACAGATGCAAACGAAACACCTCGAACCTTTACGCGTGCTATGTCCAAGACACTGTAAAATTTAAAATCAGCTAGATGGACGATTGTTTGCTAATTTTCTCACTTTTCTACAATGATTTCGCGGTTTCACTGCCGCTGCGTCGGCCAATCTTTTGACCATATGAGACTGCATCTAAGATGTCTGGTATACGAGGCTGTTGATAATGTATACCACTATAATTATATTCGCACTTAGTCACCGCATATCACAGACGCTATTGATATGACAATCTGCTCCAAAATGACCTGAAGTCCGGATGTCAATATTACAGCTCGACATCTAAGTATTCTACTATGCTTTTGCCATATGACACATATAACTAGTAGAGATCCTTTCTAATTAGAGACCGCTGTTCGGTAATAAAATATTATGGATTAAGCTTCAAGTCCGTTGCAGGGCAATGCATTATGACCCACGCTTTTATATACGGTACGGATCTGATGGACAAGGAACGCTTGTAAGGTGTCAGTATAAGATATTCACGCTGACTACAGTGTGAGTTGGTGTCCCGAAATATCACGACACGAACGTGCAGAGAATGATTTATCGACTAATCAAAGGTACTTAGTAAAGGTTAAAAGCTGAATTGTACCGAATTAACAGTAAAAGCCTTTCAAATTCAATCTCGTTGAATTCGCCTTTAGTAAAGCAACCTACAAATACGTAATGTAGCAGCTACTCATTCACCACTGATTGCGCGCTTCTAGCAGCGATTGTTGGTCAAATAAGTCGACATGCTGGTCAATACCAACCAAGAAGTGGAGCGGGGCTGAATACATCAGTACCACGGATCATATTCCTTCAATATTCACTCAGCAACGTAAATACTGTAAAATATTACCAGCTGACATGTTATTCTCATTGACCCAATTTAGTGTCAACATCCTGCAACGGGCTCACCCCGTTACATGCCGATATGTTTTTCCGTGAATGCATTGCAGAAATGCACCGATCAATAAAGAGAAATAGAAATACTGACACCAGTAGCTACTACCTTTACCTCGCACATCAATCAGCGCCAAGCCCCGGTCGCACTGCATGAGAACGCACCAGGATGAAGTATATCTTACTAGCGCGATCGCGGTAGAATAGAACGCACCAAGAGAAAAATATGACAATATGTAAACACAATTTTCTTGCTCGAATACAAAGAGGTTGACTCACACGTATACTGCCAGCTTGCCGTACACCAAAAGAAACAACGTTCCTAAGATCTTTTTACAGCCCTGGCCGGTAATGAAGACGCGTTTTTTGCGCTTGTTGAATAATATAAACGACAACGTAGAGCCTAATGACATTCTGTTTGACGTGCCGTTTCGACGTATAGTCGTCAATGTTGTGGTAATGTGACGCAGCCAGTGCTAGATGTGCTGCATAGGGATCAAGAAGAATGGTAGTAGCATCGAAAACTCTTTGTTGCGGAAGCATGTAGGCGTTTCGTTGACATTCACAGCGCTAACGCAAAGACCGCTTGGAGATGAAATGGGTTTATTATATCTTCGCACAAGTTACAGGAGTCAGAGTCAACGACAAATGACGAAGTCGACATAGAGGACCAAGTTGGTAGCAAAGACGGAAGACCAATCTTCTTGTTCGAGGAATGACACGCTAATGAGCTTAGCGCGAAGTGAGGTCAGCATCGGGATCAGCAAAGGCGTGTTTACCATTTTCCGTGTACTGCGTCAGCGCGTCTTTGACCTCTTCGCGCATGGCCTTGGACACGCGAGGCAAAATTGATCCCTTACCGACCCATATGTTCATGCAGAGTTGTTCATTTTCCTGAACTCGGACAACTGCAGGGCCCATTGGCATATCGCCGAGTGACTTGCGCAGACCTGACGACAGCGAGTCGAAGGCTACGTGATTATCTGCGTTCCCGAGGAGATTGGAGAAGTCGGCAATCGATATGTCAAAGCGACGCTTGGTGAAAAAGCCGTCGAGGAAGCCGAGACTTTCCTCCGAGGGGCGGTAAAACACCTCGCCTCGTTCTGTCGTCTTAGTGAACACCTTCAAGCCCGTATTGATGATCTGCGCACATAGCACTCATTGTGTCAGAACCTTGACCGCAACGTGAGCAAGAAGATCACTCACATCAAGTGCGTCACCACTTAAGCAGGCATCAGCGATTTCCTTGTCCACGTAATTCACGGTCACCGCAGTGTCAGAGCGACACCATAAGTGCTCCTGAATCACACGCAAACATGTAAACACATACCAGAGCACCCCCATAAGCTCATTGTACACTCACCTTTAGCGTTTTATCCTCAATGCCATAAAACTCTTGCAATTGCTGCCACACATCATCCCCAACAGCACGGTAGACCGTCTCACGCTTCTTATCGAACTGTTTCGTTGCACCAATTGTTGCATCAGTCGACGCCTCTCCGCGATTCTTCCGTGGCTTCAGTGATGCGTTCGAAGCAGCGAATTCTGTGTCCGATAAGAAATTCTGGCAGCTTCTTAAGAAATGGCCCCCCGTGCCACACAACTTGCAGATATAGTCAGCAGGTGGCAACGCTTCCGATTCTTCTAGTGCGGCAAAGCCTTCCTGACGTCCCTCTACACCAGGCAAGTCGCGCAATTTGCGCAGCACAGCGATGAAAAACCCACCAGAGTTCTGATCGGTTGGGATGAGACGAAGTGTCTTGCGCAGCTCCTTGGCAACACAATGTTCCGGCGGAAACATTGATCGTGTTATCCGCTTACCACGAAGGCTTTCTACCACCTTGTCGTATTCGTCAAACCAATCATGGAGCCCTGAACCTACGTTATCATTGTCATTCTCCGCACCCTTAAACAGGTAGCCTTTGTTGGTAGACTTCGACTTTGAGCGCCAGCCTACACGCCATTTCGACCGACCTGGACGGGTGACAAGCGCAGGCATCTTTTTCGAAACGTCCAGCAGCTCAAGCGATCCTCCGGCACGGCGTAGCAGTTCCGCCACAACAGCCTCGTTTTCCACGGGATTGAAGGAACACGTTGAGTAGACCATGGTGCCGTTTACCTTCAGCAGAGCTGCCCCGCGAAGAGCCAACGCTAGCTGAACCGGATGTAACGTGAGACCTTGGCCAATATGCCAGTCCTTCCATATCGACTGGTTTTTGCGCAGTGTTCCGTCACCACTGCAAGGAACGTCACACAGCACACGGTCGAACACATTTGTCGACTCCAAAGTCTCTGTTTCAGCGTCGTACAGACCTGGGAACGTGTCACCTGGACCGCAGGTCACCACAGCACGACGAAGCGTGTTCCTCGAAAGGCGGTGCACAAGCATATACGCCCGTTTCTTGTCAAGGTCATTAGCAACGACAAGGCCGCTCTGTTTCTTACCGTTGCTATCTTCTGACGACAACAAACAGTCAATGACCTGCGTCGTCTTCGAGCCAGGAGACGCGCACATGTCAAGCACCCGGTGACCGCATTGCACGTCCAGGAAAAGCACTGGCAGCATACTCACTGCCTCCTGGCGGTCGATGTTTCCACGATCCGTATGCTCCAACAAACACGTGTGGAATGCACGCACGTCCGCGTGCTTCGGCGCTGGTCAACAATTCCCACAAAATGACCAGAAGAGCTTCCTTGACCTCATCTCGAAAGCCATGAATAACACGTACCACTTTTCGACAGCGCAACACGCCCACAATCCATTTGCCACGCCACATTCTTCAGCGGATACCATGCAATCGGCCTGCACAGATTATATATAAATCATCGAGAAGCAACGACACAGTCGTCCAATACCTTGCAACAAGCACACACTCACTTTGGCGGGTTCACAGAAATTGTACCGTAAAAGTTCTTCTGACTCGGAAATTGATGCTCCGTAGCCAGCAGTGTCTTCAGCCTGCGACACGTGCACAGTGAAGTTACAAGTGGATTCCGAAGCGTCTTACGGCGCGGCGACAAACACGAACCTCGCAGCGTCTGGACGGTGCAAATTGAGACGGAACGAGACGGGCAGAGGTTCGTGCAGCAGCTGCATCAGCTTGTCGAGCTCTGTCTCGTCTTGCACTGCATCCGTCTCGCGCTACAGAACATCAGTTGACCGTCGCAATGAGTGAGAATCAAGGGTTGTGTGTGTACACTGTATGCGTGGACTGGAAGCGGCGCGTTCAGGCAGTACCAGGTACTCGCGGAAGCTCTGTTTGTGGACCGCTAGAGACGACTTGGCCGTGGCTGTCGTGGCTGTGGTCATGAGTGGTGGTGTATTGACCAACCAAGAAGAGTCCACGACAGGACGATATGATCAGGGGCTACTGAGTTGCTGGCTAATGTTCGTACTGTTGAGTCTGCCCGTAAATATGACTAGATCTGTGTCAGATGGTCCAATATATGATTGATTACCGACAATTGCAGGTCATAATGATGTGATTTCTCGAAGCGGACGGAAACGATTATGGTTTGGTAACAATGGTCAGAGGGACCAATTTCGATTGGGTAAATATGTATCACTGACTCGTACGTGCCGAGAAAATTCTACTCGCATCTTTTCCAATAGGAGTGCTGCAATAGGACTACAAGAAGAATTATTCGCTACTTTACATGACATGTTAATCAACCATTGCCATTTGTGATAATTATATGAAAGGGTACATTCAATTTGTTTGCGTGGATATCGCCTCCGTAGGCAATTTTTGATAGAGGACTGATCACATTCGGCACAAGGATTGACATCGACCATGGCATCAAACATGTTCCACTCATCACCAATCGCCACACAACAATCAGTAAAGCAGATGTTCAGTAGCTGTACTAGAACGGGGAGACAACATTTTGATTAAATTTGCACCAATGAGCAGAAGCGGAGCTATCACAGCTAAGGAAAGCTACGACTCAAAGAGCCACTTGGTTCGTAGTAAGAAAAACGACTCAACGAGTCAACTAGCTCTTTAAGGAGCGACTCACGCGTCTACTAGCTCACGGAGCTTTTATTCCTGTCATACAATAATGACGATTTAAACAATCAAATTGCACAAGGTGTTCGATAGTATATGCCTGAAGAAGGCTAGTAAACTCTCAACGATATCGACGCCTTAGCAAAGCACGCGTCTTTAAGTGATCGTAATCTAATCTAATGTTTAGTTCATTTCTCACGGAAAATTGACCCGTCTAAGTACTTCGAAGGGACTTGCTATTTCCGCCACACTTTTTGCTCTTTCCACCACACTTTTAGCAAAGCGTACCACACCACACTTTTGACAAGTTCAGCCACACCACACTTTACAAGTTCCGCCACATCACACTACACCACCGTAGCACACTTTACCAGCACAGCACTCTTTACCACCACAGCACAATTTACCGCCACAGCACAATTTACCACCACAGCACGTTTATTAACCTTACCTCACTACACCAGCTCTGCACTGGTTGTGTTATGATAAACTTGATGCGCTTTCTACGTATAGGACCTAAATAGGAGTATGGCGGAATACAAGCGAAAACTTGAGGTCTGGTGTGCTCATATGGGTGTTGCGGTGCGTATCGGTTTCTTTGTATCTTATAGCGCAAACTTACGAACGTTTCCAAATATGGCACTGCTACACAGGCTAAAGATTTCGGGAAGAATTACAGCGTTTGTTACAGGAGCTGCTGTAAAAGTTTGATAGATTGGCGCAATCAATCTGTTGCGCTAAAAATGCTATTAGAAATTGGTATGTGGTCATGTGGCATTCCAAGACGCATGAAAAGGCGCGCCGATTCGCGTGCACAAGCATAACCACATTCATGTGTAGAGAGAGATAGAGAAAATGCGTTGTCGTGGCTAGCAGCGGATCTGGAAAGTGAGTTGCAGCTGAAGATAGCAGGTAGTTAGTGCATTTGTAGCAACAGAAGAGTAATATCAACACGGTAACCGATATAACCTTCCGACACTCAAGCGAAAGCCATTCGAACAATTGATAGTGCTGTAGAGTACCATCAGGCTCTCCTGACGTATTGCATGACTGTGAGGTACCTTTCATAACATTCTTGGCAAAATTATCATCCTTAACTTCTTAACAAAGGCCAAGAAGAGCAAGAACAAGACCGAGAGCAATACCAATAACAAGAGCAAATACAAGTGCCTCATGATGTGCGAGATGAAGAGCAAAATGGAGAACAAGATGAAGAGCAAAAACATGATCTAGAAGGAAATAAAAATGGTTTGGAGGAAGAGGGTCAAAACTTATAATTCATTTGGCCAAATCTTTTGATGCGATAAAAAAATTTGTAGCGCAAGTGGCGAGCTGATTCATGCGAATACGAATTTGGTAAACCCGCTCACCATCTTGACCGATGCCCAATATAATTGATTCATTTACTGTAGTCAAACCAGGTATCGTAATTTATATTCACCAATCAGGTCCGCCACGTCTTCTCCACAGCAGAATATAATGTTCGGCGGCTTGACCGTGGGTTGCTTTCCTTCTCTAGACACATCTTCTCCTCCTGCATCTATCATCATCTCTTTCTCATTCGGCTTCTGCGGGCATTACATTCTCTCATGGTAGGCTTACCGCAGTATTTGCAATAACGGCGAAAGCTCAATCCGGATGGATCTCGTTTTGTCGATGACTTCGGCTTGTTTTTTTGTCCCGATAGGCCTGCCTTTCGTTTTTTGCCACAGGAATATCGTCGGGGGATGGGATATGGGCATCTAGCAACTTCTTTGTCAGCGCGCAAGCGATCGCGAATTTGGCTGTGGACCATGATCTGGATGCCTCCTGTAGCCAAACCACCGCTCGTCTCAGCTCCGTGATGCGAGTCTGACCATTTTCACCCGGTTGTTGAATATGCAGGTGCCAATGCTGTGGAATGCGAACAAGATCGATTGGTTCGTTTCCGCACAATTTGCCGATTTTACGATCACAGGGTAGACCCAGCGTTGTGCGAAATACTTCACTACATTCCTGTAATGGCTGGTTGGTCGCGGCGTTACAGTTGCTCAAATCAAGATGATTATTGGTCAACATTAACGCGTGCTGTGTCGTGGCGACGTTCAATTTGCATATACCTGCACCTTTTGCAAAAAATACGGCATTCTATTTGCTGCGTCTCAACAGCGGCGCGGGTTTCGTTAACTTGATGCGTCAAAACCTGATCGATGCGCTCCTTAACTCGGTGCAGGTCGCCGGTGCTAACCTGCAAGTATCGCTTTAGTGATGCATGAACACCCTCTGCTGTCAATGTTGATGCATTTCCGAGATGTTGGCAATAGATAGTCCATGCTGTGACAATTTTTTGGTTGTGTACAAGTCATGTTTTGCCGAGATACGTGCACAGTGCCGGCTAATCAGATAAATCGGTAAAAATGTGATTCTTGCGTGCTTGAAACTCGTTAGGTGTGTGGGCCTGACAGAAACCGGTCCACATCTGCAGAAGTGCCTTATGATGTTCGTTTTTCTTGAAATGCGCCATTGTTTTGTGACAACAATTCTTTATGTGTCATAAGCACAAAAGGTGGCGGGAGCCAGGAGCTACATATGCCAAGGCTGCTGCCAATGACGCGTATGCATCAGAAACTACAATAGCCGAAAGTCGCCATTGACATACAGCTAGCCAACCTTCTTCAAAGGCCACACATAATCAAATATAGCTTCTCCGCTAGGAAAGGCGCATACAATCGAAAAGCTGGCGTTAGGGGTTGTGCAATTAACGAAGTGCAGCAACGGCATTTGGAACCGATTAGTACTATACATTGTTGAAGGTTAAGGTTTTCTCAATGGAGATGTTAGCACGGGATGGTGTTTTTGGAACTGACATTTACATATACTTGCGCACTTGGCTATTCCTAGTGCACACTACTACTACTCTTGCAGGTGCTGTGCATGGTCTCATATCTTCTCTTTTCCGCACGCTTCTAGACCAACCGATTTTGTTGTCATTCAGACCCCTTCACTCCTTATCCACCAAGACCTGGCAACGTCGCACTGACCCTGTCGCTCCGCACCCATTACATTTTTGACAACTGTTGCTACTTGGCACCTGTCGCTGCAAATTCAAATTACAACACGCCCTCCTCTACTTGCAATCACTCGATATGCGCAGTCGATCCACTTAGTCGTAGACTGCCGAGCTTCAATCAATTTCACTGACTTATATGGCTCCATCCGTAAGTCCGATGAGTCGCATCAAGTGCTGAATCCTGTCTGCACTGGTTGCTTTCGTAAGAAGATCTGCAGCATTTTCAGCCGTCGTGACCTTGTAAAGTATAATTTTTCTCTTCTTCACTTGCTCGCGCACATAGTGCCAGCGCAATTCAATGTGTCGTGTCCGACGACTGAATGTCGGATCCATCGCCAGTGTCATCGCGCTCGAGTTGTCGACGCCGAGCTTCACTGCGATGCCCTGCTTCGTCACGCCTAATGTTTCTTCAATGACGTTTCGAATAGACGCTGATTACATACTGCTTCACACGATGCTATGTACTCCGCTTCTGCAGTGCTCAGTGCAACTACGCTCTGAAGCCGTGATAGCCATGACACCGCACCGGCCGCAATAGTAAATACGACTCCAGTAACACTGCGTCTCGAATCTGGATCACCGCCCCAATCGCTGTCACTATATCCTTCGACATCAATTTGACTTGCACTTCCATCTTGGCGCTTGTAGCTTAATCGGTACGCCAACGTACTTGACAAATAGCGAAATACTCGCTTCACTGCTCCAACATGCTTGCTACTCGGATTACTGGCAAACCGGCTGAGCAACCCAATTTCAAACGCGATGTCTGGTCGCGTTGACTTTGCCAATTACATGAGCGCCTCTAGTGCCTCACGGTACCGATAAGAAACCATTTCAGTACTTGTCTCTGGTTCTTCATGCACAAGTCGCGTGGTGCAATCCACTGAGTTGCCGACTTTGCGAGCTTCTGTGAATCCAAACCGCTCAAGAATTTCACGTGTATACTGACGGTACCGATAAGAAACCATTTCAGTACTTGTCTCTGGTTCTTCATGCACAAGTCGCGTGGTGCAATCCACTGAGTTGCCGACTTTGCGAGCTTCTGTGAATCCAAACCGCTCAAGAATTTCACGTGTATACTGAGTCTGCTGCAAGCAGTAGCTGGAGTCACTGCGATCAATCTCAACACCAAGATACTGTGTTGCTCGCCCGTGATCTTTAATGCCATACTGCTTATTAAGCAACTCGAACAATTCATCCTTCTGCTCTACTGATTTTGTTGCTGTGAGTACATCGTCGACGTATACCAGC